CTGCAGACAAAGAGCACGGTCTACTGGTTGTAGGTGTTGTGCTTGCTGTAAATGATAAGGATGCAGCCCGATCTCATGAAGAGTCCTCCACGCCATGGACTGAGAAACACCGAACCGCCGAGCTAGACGTCTTGTACTGGCACATGGACTGTGCTCTACAGCATCGAGAATGGTTTCTTCTTCGCACAATTAATGTTGAGGATTTCGTTCGTATTGTATATGAACGCTGGGGAGAGACTGTGTTGAATGTACTGCTAATGGATTTAGGATTCGGAATCCTGTGAATAGGATAACGCTGGTGATATTCGGCAGCAGCGGCTCTCCCATTTCCATCACATCACCCAAAACAAACACCATATCGGCGTATTCCTTAGTGGAAAATTTGTACGGCATCTTAACTTCACAAAGTCACCAACACAACGTCCTGTTCACTACTGGATCGCTTTGCCTAGGATCGCGCGACATTCCAGCTGGTCAGCTTATCTGCTGACACAGCTGACTGGAATGCAAGGTCACTGAGGAGGGGAGCAGAGCGCTGCATTCACATTGATGCGTTTCGAAAATCTGTTGTTACTCCGTAACTATTGTAATGTGTAATATATGTTGTAATGTACGTAACTTACTAAGAATTGTTTTAATGAAACCACTGTCAACCAATTATGTAATCATAACATAGTGAAACATAGAATATATTAGTAAACAATATTATAAGTAATAACATTTTTGGTATCATATAATGAAGACATTAATGTAGATTAACAAGCCACTGTAACTATTGTAATATTATAAGAATAAGAGTGTACCTCAGACTGAGGGTCGGAGGAAACCACATGTAAGTGGTATATCAGACCAAGACAGGAGACACTTTTGAGGAAGCTTTTAGCTAAGAGTAAGTAACCTAAATATTTCTGGTCCATTACCATGAATCTGTCAGGACCCTCCTTCTGGGTCTTCCAATAAGGAAACCACACTATGTGTATTTATGTATGACAGTTTGAATTGTATTTTGCACTTTAAAGGCATTATAGGAGGAATCTTGGGTTGAGACACAAACCAAAAGTTCTATCTCATGTTCCAGCTAAGGCTCTGAGAGTTCTGTTTATTGTAACTTTAATGCATTGTGGAGGGGAGATGTGAGTGCATTCCTTTCAGCCAACACCCAGTTTGGTCCTATAAGAAGAAACTTGTGTGAACACGCGGGATCAGATCCTCTGGTCACGTCATATAGGGCGAAGCTCTGCTTCTCTACAGTGTAACTTGTTCTTTGTACTTCCACCGCACTGGTCTTTTAGATTCAGTAAAGTGAGCTCTCCTGGTGCAACCAAGGAAACTTAGTTTTTCTTGCTTACCTACCAGTCTCCGTAACTATCCCAATTAATCGTCAAAGTCTAGAACATCCTGTGGCATCGACATTGTGACGTCTAGCTGTCAACGAGAGGCCACATCTACGACATCACCCAGTGGCAGCAACGACATTACACTATTGAAAATCAACCAAAAGTTTATAAGGAAATTTTTCAGGAAATAACACCAGGAATATGTACCATAAGCCAGGGTAAAACTTCGTGAATCATCCTGTATTTAGATTTTAAAATCTTAACTATCTCCTCACACCAGGATCTCATAGTAAAACATCTATTTCAGATAAATTAAAACAAATCTATGTAGGACTTGAGGTTTTCACAACAGTTGTTATGAAGAGTTCTGCCTTCTGGGATATACTGTGTAGTCTATTGAAAGTCAACCCACGTTTCGGAAGAACACTTCACATGAAAGCTTTCACTCTGGTTTCTCGCTTGGCTTATTCTTTGATCCTGAAGATGGAGGTTAAGTGTTCCTTCTGGTTGACTTTCAGTGGACTACACAGTGTTGTATCCAAGAAGATAAAACTCTGTAAAAACAAATAATATTCAACTTTTGACATCAGCATAAGCTATCTCCATGTTAGAATGGCATGTGTAAATAAAAGACATAATTTCATTTCAACTTATGTTCGAGTTTCTTACATTTTCTGGGTCTATTAGTGAATATGTTTACATGACGTCCAATAAACTATCTCTTTAAATAGAAGTATGGTTTTCATATTTGCAGGTCAAAGCCAAAACACCGGTAACACACTTCAAACTGACTTCAGTGGTTAGCTCCTTCGTCTTGAAACCTGACTGGATTAAGCTGGCTCTCTTCTCTGTCAGCTACATCTTACACCCTCAAGTTAATATTCATAGTCTTCATTGACAAGGTTGCTAACTAAACTTCTCTGTCTCTTCATCATCACAATAGTAGTTGCCATCTGCACTATAAATTTGGTCTGGTCATTCACCCAATTCCACTAATCAAATTACTGGTTTCCTCATGACACGATGCATTTAACTTCTCATGTGCTTTCAGGGACACCTGAAGCTATATCATGATTATGGGGTAGTTCATCGATGGGTTGAATGTTTATGAGAGGGCATGGTGAATTATATCTATAAACAGAACATAGAATTGGATGGTTCCTGTGGGGCATGCAGTAGCATAGTTGGTTGAGGCACTGTGCTACAAGCTGGAAGGTCATGGGTTCAAGTCCTGAAGAGGTCACTGGATTTTTTCAATTGACCTAATCCTTCCAGTCACACTATGGCCTGGGGTTGACTCAGCCTCTAACAGAAATGAGTACCAGGAATTAACTAAATAATTTTCCTGGGGAGTAAAGCATGGCCAGCACATAAGGCTAACAGCCTTACCACCATCTTTGAGCCATTGTCTAGATAATGTGGGACCCTCAATGTCTCACAACCCTATGGGCCTCCATGGCCTGGTACAGGGATAGCTTTACTTTTACTTCTGTCCTGTGGACTATCTCCCAACTCAAGCTCTACATTTACTTTCTAACCATCTTCATTAATCTTATTAAGAGTTTGTACTCGGTCTTATCTATTCTTTCAAAACTCCCCATACTAATTATATGATTAAACCACATTCTGTAGCAAAGTCACGGCCTAAAATCAATAACCGAATCAACTGTGGACATATTCAGAAAACGTTTGAAATCATCCTCCTCTGTCTTTAATTGTATCTGCACCTGCTTCTTTATCCCTCGTGTTCTATTGCCGAAAGCTGTGACCAAGATAACTTCCATGGGAGGTTGTGAAGTTGGCAACTGTGCCACAACTAGTCTGTTGTATAAACTCTGACATAATGCTTTCTCTGCCCTACCGTCTGATATGCTACTTATTAATTAATTTAGCATCCTCCGTAGTCTAGAGGTAACGTTCCCACCTCATGACTCGTGGTACGCAAGTTCAAATACCCAGTGGAGGTCGTCAAATTTTTAAGGGCGGAAAAATTCAGGGAACAAGTCCTCCGGGAGGGACTTTAAGCCGTGTGTCCTGTGTCGTAGCTTTACGGCACGTAAGAGAACCTCATATCTCCAAAGGAGATCACTGAACCAAATTCAAGGACGTTTCCTGCCCAACAGTAGTCTCTAAGGCCTCAGATAGGAAGCATTATAGACACTGCCAAGCTAGTGGAGGCCAAACTCGCTTGCTCGGCGGACTGATGGTACGCACCATTATTGGTAGGGTATAGACACTGGTAGAATATCATAGAGGGAAGCACAATGGACCAGTACTGGTCTAAGTGCATGGGGAAACCCACCCTCTCCAATAACTAACTAACTAACAATTTCCAAAAGTAACATCTTCCCCCCCCCCTTGGCACTACAGCCCCAGTGAGCCTAGGCCTACCTCCATGAACTTCTCGATTCACTTCGGTTTTCAAGATCTTACACATTCGGTAGGACTCCTTGGGCAGGTGATCAGTTCATCGCAAGGCCTCTACCTGTACACAAACACAGAAAAATGCGCACACACAAACTAAACATCCATGCCCTGAGTGGGATTCGAACCCACGATCCCAGTTTCCAAGCGAGCGAAGACAGTACATGCCTTAGACCGCTCGGCTACCATGACCGGCAAAAGTAACATCTACGTGAGGGAAATATCCACATTCCCATCTTCAGTGTACGAGTTCACCTGTCCCTTCCATGTCAATATCTGTATCTAAATTTAAGGTACTAAACCTGTTATCATTATTACAATTTGTCTGGTATTGCAAAATCCTGTGGGCTTTGGTTATGTCTATGGATGATGTAGGCCCAAATAAAATGTCACCCAATTCTAGCGCAAAGCTCCACTGTGGTGGGCAGAATTGTTTACAAATAGACTTGAAAGGATTCTGAAAATGGTGTATGCTGTACAGAACTATTACGCCTATTTTGGACTCTATCCATTGTCTGGTATATATAAGACAAAAAGCCACAACGTTCCGGAGACTGGATCTGTCTCGGTCCTCAGGTGGGGGATGGGGCAGGATAGATCTACTCAGTTGGGCCCGTTAGAAAGCGCTAGTCTCAATCACTGGACCTGATTGTTCTCATTAGTGAATATCTTATATGACGGTGCCTAAAATCCCCTACATTTCCCTTAAAAATCGATTTCCAGTCAAAATTCTATATCTAAACACATGTATAAACATGTTCATCTATCCTAACAAAATCAGCTTTCTACATTTACAAGAGTTCTTAACCAGCACCTAAACAAACATAGCTGACTCTTATAAAATCTTATGGCTAGTTACAGCAACATAAATCAAAAGAACTATATAATTAGAAGTGTTTCTGGTGTCCATTCTGTTCTTACAAATATATCAAACCCCAAAAATACATAACAAAACTGATTTTTCCTGCCAACCAACTCTTATCTTCTATCATCACTAGGTGCCTAGGAGTCATCCACATTTTTCCTTAATTTTCTTAACCAACTCCGGTGCGTAAGTCCGGTAATTCGAGCGGAATTACAATATCCCACCGCTGCCACCAGACTGTTGTGCCACACTTGCAACACAAAAATTTCTTATTATATTCCCACCTAACTGCCACAAATTCAACATCTGTGGATAGCTTCTTCTACGCCCAATGATATAACTACTACGAATACCCAAATGAACACTAAACATGTTAAAATAAGAACAAATATAATTAAATCAACAATTACATATGTACAGCCTATTAACACACACAGTCTGTGATTACAGACCTTGCAATAACCTCTTAAACCTTACTACCCCTAACAGTAAAAGTCATTTCACAGTAGGATATGCTGATATAGCAACCCTATCAATGGGAAATTCCCTTACGCTGTGTCAGAGGTCTTACAAACGGCCCTGCACACAGTTCAACAGGGGTGCGAAAGGACAAACTTGTCTATCAATCCAAACAAGACAGTAATTATACCCTTTACTAGGAAGAGGGATACAAAGGGGCTCAAGGAACCAATCCTCTTCCGTCAAGTACCTTGGAGTAACATTAGAAAAGGGGCTGACGTGGAAAAAACAGCTGGACAAGGCCTATAAGCCCTTCTGGACATGCAGGGGCACATTTTGAAAAACCTGGGGACTGAAACCAAAGGTGGTGTATTGGATGTACACTGCTGTAGTAAGGCCCATAATTACCTATGCTGCCACTATATGGTGGCCTAGAGTTAAACCCAAAACAACTCAGGCAGAACTAAGCAAACTGCAGAGGACGGCCAGCTTGGGAATTACGGGAGCAATGAGAACAGCTCCAATAGCTGCAATGGAAATCCTACTAGGACTCCCCTCACTGCATCTACAGATGGAAGCAGAGGCCAAGTTAGGAAATTACAGATTACTTTGCAATGATCAATGGAGACCTAAATCTGAAGGGTCTGGACATGCATACATGAAAAGGGAACCCATCCTACAGATGGGATATGATAAACCCTTCGTGATCAGATTTCCTGATAGAAGTGAATGGAAAGGGGTTTCAACCCGATAGAAAGGGAGGACTAATCTGGTATACATATGGTTCCAAGGCACTGGCGCTGGGGTGTATCATGATGGAACGAGGCAGAAGCATACCTTCAGCCTTGGTCAGTACACAACAGCTGGTTCCACCTACCACCGTACTCTCTTTCATCTGCTGTTCCCAGGTTGCATGCAAGAAAAAGTTGCCTGTGACTTTTGGTATGACCTACGTATATTGTTCTTTGGTATTCATGAATGTAGAGAAATCTGTAGAGCAGCAGCAACAGCAAACAATACAACATCAAAATATACGAGGGGGTACCCAAAAGAAACCGAACTTATTTTTTTTAAACTTATTTATTCAAATTTTAAGCACAAACCTTCAATCCCCTTCAAAGTACTCTCCACTTACACTAATACACTTGTCTAGTCTTTTATTCCATTTTTCAAAACATTGTCTAAATTCATCTTTTGAGATGCTTGACAGTGCNTCTTCCTTGATGATTTCACGAATTTTTTCAACATTTTCATGTGTTCAGGCCGTGGAAGGACGACCAGAACGAGGTTTGTCATCAATTGACATTTCACCATTTTTTAAACAGGAAAACCACTCAAACACTTCAGTTTTCCCCATAGCATCATCCTTGTATGCCGTTTTTAACATTTCAAGAGTTTCTGTTCCACTTTTCCTGAGCAAAAAGCAGACTTTCACCGCCACATGCTGTTCACGAAAATCAGCCATTGCAAAAACGACGATCACACAAAATAGTTGTCACTATAAACTCTGCCGAAACTAGTCCTTACCTTCTGAAGCAACGGTAGTCGGCTTATCGATTCTGGAATGTTAGCTCTATGCGCTCATAGCGGCAAAACGCGGTACTACAAAAGCTCTGCCCACAAAAAAAATAGTTCGGTTTCTTTTGGGTACGCCATCGTACCTTTAATCAAAATATTTTCTTCCACTGTTGTATGGATATCTGATCTTAAGATGTCTGCCATCAGTGACATCTTACCAATGCCAGAAATTCCATCTGAGCTCGAGCCAACTTGCTTATTGTTCTTGAGGAACGTAATCACTGTGTAAGAGGATGGTGTTAAGCAAGACAGTTCAGCATTTTAATGAAATTATACAAATTTTACTTGCATCAGCAAAATAAATCACACATTAATCTATATATGTACAAGTATAAATACAATTCAAATTTTCAACAAGTACTACACATGGAAACAAAGCTGTGCCATTCACATATGTATAAAAACTAATTTCATTCATGAATATGTTGTGTTGACGGGAATTTCCAACTACATCCTACAAAATTTAGACTATGCAGTTGCCAATATGGCTCTTTAAATTTGCAGATCAGCAGGAGGCATTGGGAGTTTGTACAGCAAATTTTACAGGTACAACACAAGTTAAACATTTAAATTATCAGTTGGGTAAGTTATGATCCACTTTGTCGTTTTTAAAATAGCTACAAAGAGTTCTCATATTGATATTTAGTGCAGCCTAATAGTTTTAAGGAAATGCATATATGAGAGGGCATGGTATCGCCTAACAGCAATAACATCATAAAACAGCTTACAAAAAACATACAAGTACAGCAATGAACATTTCAAACTTTAAGCTTAAGTTACACGATATGTATACCTTATGTCACTCTTACTCTTATGTAGACATAGGCTAAATCTTATATGGTGAAACCTGTTTATCTTGGCCACTTCTGGTTCCATCAAACCTGGACAGTTTACAGAGAATAGTGTTTAAATTGCTTCTATTTGTGTCTGTAGTGACTACAGGCTTAACTAGTGTCTCACATTTCTTTTTGCCACTATGTTAAGGTCTGTGTCTTGTTTCTGACCTTGTGCCTACTGGACAGACCAGCAGGCCACATAATGAATCTCAAATCAGTGGATCTGAAGTGAATTTTAATGATCAGTTAAGACAGAAAAATAGAGCAGGCACAAGCCATCCTCCCTGTTCATGTTACTGTGAGGGGGCCACATCTCAATTGTCTCCCTGATGAAGCAGTCTGTATATCTGGATTTGGTGTAAAGGATACAATGTCTTGGACATTAGACTATTGGCATAATATCCCAGAAGAATGAAAATGATTTGTTGCTTTGGGTGTTGGAAATGCCTAAAAGTTCATACTCTTAGCTCCAGTCGTTGAATAGTTACTGCTACGAAGCTGACGATGAAAATGACTGTAAGAATAAACTTCTTCAGAGATCTGTTTATTACCGTGCACCATTTCAAGACCCTGCACATCTGCCACATTAGCAGGAATGTGAAGAGAATCAGAGTGTAGCTTCCAATGGCACAATGTTCAGACTGCATTTCATGAATATTGGTTGAATGGCTTAAAGGTGGGAGGATACAGGACAGGACAGTAATCTCATAAAATGGCTAAAAGAGACTGGTGATGGGAGGAAACCCTCAAATCAGATGAACACCAGTGAAGTGTGCTTAAACAAATATAAATTACTCTGTTATAAATAATTCATTACTAATTCTTGTATTCTCATATTCTTTCCAGTTCTTCCATTATCTGATCTGTGAGATCTGATGGATTTTTCTTGTACTTCACTGCCGACTGTATCGCGTCTCGAAAAAGCTGCAATGCCAATAGAAAGTTTGATTTTAATGTGTGATATGGGAAGAAGGTACATATACGTGATAGCAGTGGGGGGAGCAATAGAAATCATACAAAATTTGGTACCAAAACTATATTCTCAGTACCATTATGATATCATTTTTAGAAGACTTAAAGGTACTATCTGGATTGTATAAAAAGTGTTCTGCCCATTACAGGTAAATTCAAAACAACTACATCGCATGACAGATGTGTGTGAACGTGACACTACATCCATCTTCTGAGATTCAAGGCTCAATTTGGTGAAGATTAATAGCAGTGTTTTATGAGATGTGAGGCCATTTAGTCCAGTAGTTGGTTGTCACCTTCTGGAAGTACATGTATCCATGAATGCTCATTATGTATGAAGTTAGAATAGAATTATTTCATACCACACATGCCAAATATAATAAGTAAATTTCCTCCTATGTTTAATTAATCATGACACCATGAAAATTTAGGGGTGAATGAAGGTACAGCTCCACAGATCCTTAAATTTAGCACTAGATGGGGGTGAGTGGTCAGCTTTATGCACCAGCTACTTTATTTCTGGGGGAAGACTCCATGGCACCCACTGGCCATGAGGCTATGTAGGCCCCCACAGCTTATCTGGAAGCTGTGGTAAAGAGCAAAATGTCTGCCCCTCCCAGGGACTGAACCCCAATTCCCAGTCATCTAGCCCATCGCCTAGTTACTACACTGACTATAGTTTTTATGAAATTATAATATTTTTAAGAGCATTTAATTACATACCTGCAAGCAATTTGTGCAGCTGATAGGTCTCCTATGTCATCTACACAAATCACACATGAATGCCCTGCACATGGATTATTTTCAGTCTCTTCTGTGTAAGCTATTGACTGCAACTGTTTGGTAATCACACATAGAAGAGTGGGCCAAAATAACTGACAGTGAAATGAGTTGCTAGGGGCTGCATGTCTGGGGTTCAATTACTGTTAGGGACAGGGAGTTTTCTCTCCACTGTACACAAAACTCTTATGTTATTTAACATGCATTATGTCTTCTGATGCACACACATCGGGAATCCCCAAGAAAATGATATACTGAAACCAGGTTCTGTACAATGTTCAACTGAAAGAAAAGAAATGACTAGCTACCTCCATGGTGCAGAATCTTCCTAGAAGAGCTACCAGTCATTTAGCTAATCAAGAAATTCTCCTCCTCTGACAGAACCCAAAGGTACATTACCATGTTCATAAGAGCTCGCCACTGGTTCCTATTCTGAGTCAAATTCAGGCCACAACCTCCCATCATAATGTCTTTAAGATCCATTTTAATATCACCCTACAAATCATGCTTAGGTTTTCCAAATGGTCTCTTATCCAAAATGTATTTCTAAACTCTGTCATTTGGTAACAGTGCCCTGTCCACATTATCCTTCCTGAGTTGATCACCCTCACAATGTTTGGAGAGCAGCACCTCCTTACAGTTGTTTCCAGCCTCATGTCACTTTCTCCTGCTTACATCCAATCATTCTCCCCAGTTTTTCCTTCTGTCGCCCTCAATCCATGTTCCTTCCTTAATATGAGACACCAAATTTCATACTAGGACATAACGCTGTGCAAACAGTGGAAAATCAACTGACATTTTGGAGGAATCTCTGCTTGCAGAGATTGATGTCAAAGCACCACAGTGTAGAACACACCGAACATGTATACACCCAGACAAGAAACATACATCACATTGCAAGTTTTATATATGATATATATAGAGTAGGAATATCAAACCTGCACATCGTTGGAAGCTTGTCTTTGGACCTCATATACCGGGCCAATTATGCAACAAGACCTACATAACGTACATGCCCAATTCCATGCCAATAGTTGGCATACGGATCCCTAACCCCACATATAGATGTTCATATGTTTTATATACTTTTAATATGTTTTAATAACATTTTATATGTAGTACACCTTTATTCTGCCTTATATTTTTTATTAAAAATCATAGATTTGATATTTTAACTTACATTAATCTGAGGTAAAGTTTTATGTTAATATTTAATGTGACACGTTGCACCGATAAGGCTCCATATCAGTATTTCAGTAACTATATGTATTCCTGCCTGATGATGGTCATGTATGACCAAAACATGTCGCAGTAAATAAAGATCTAATGTAATAACTGAAATATTTGTTGTGTTGATGGTAACATAGTTCCTACATATTATACAAAGTACTGTAACATGACCATTAAGATGTAAAGGCAGTTACAACATACGAAGTACTGTAACATGACCATTAAGATGTAAAGGCAGTTACGACATACAAAGTAAGTACTGTAACATGACCATTAAGATGTAGAGGCAGTTACGACATACAAAGTACTGTAACATGACCATTAAGATGTAAAGGCAGTTACAACATACGAAGTACTGTAACATGACCATTAAGATGTAGAGGCAGTTACGACATACAAAGTAAGTACTGTAACATGACCATTAAGATGTAGAGGCAGTTACGACATACAAAGTAAGTACTGTAACATGACCATTAAGATGTAAAGGCAGTTATGACATATGAAGTACTGTAACATGACCATTAACTCTTTGACTGGCGCGGGCGTGTTTTAACGCCCGGACGATGCCAGCCGTTCCCTGGCGTTGGCGTGTTTTAACGCTTTGACAATCTCTTCCCTTCTTTGCTCTCTTGGCACTCATCAACCAAAGACATATATATGATAGTTTTTGTGCATGTTTGTAAAGAACCCTTGTAAACTTTGTGGGGGTCTATATTACTGTCAGAACCCTCTGAGAAGGAAAAGGTCAGAAAATATTTCACATTCATTCAGTTTCACCATGGCTTCTTGCAGCAAGTGTCTTCGTGTTCCTACAGACCAGCTGGAAAATGTTGTGAACGAGATTTGTTCTGATGATGATAGTGGCGATGAAATAATGATTCCTGAATTGGATGAAGTTGATAGTGACAATAATACAGTGATAGACAATGATCCACAAGACAGTAATCATGAACATTTACCTACCACGAGTGCGGTGCCTGACACGCCCATCTCATGAACGTACGGAGACATTGTACCCCCAATATTTCCATTTGCTAGTAGTTTCGGGATCAAAACTGATATAACACATAAAATGCATTCCTTTTCATGAATTAAAATTTTTTCTGGATGACGACTTGGTAAATCACATCACAACTGAAACCAATCGCTATGCTCACCAGCACTTCAACACACATGA